CCGTGTTCGCTGCTCGACCAGCTAAGCAGCGTTCAGTATCAGATTCTGACGTAATTGTCGCGTGCACTGCCTTTTATACTGCCTATCGAGCGCGTCAGTATTTGAATGTGATTTGCATACTTCGCGACAATTGGCCAGTCATTTGGACTGGCGTGAGCCAATAGGACTTCAGGAAAGGTTGGAAGGGAAGGAGTTCCCATAACGGAGAAATGTCTACGTGATGTCTCGTTCCCGCTCTCAGGGAACCGAGGTTACGATAGTAACCGGAGACGTTTTCCTTTACCACACACACTGAAGCGCGCGTGACGCTCGCGGTAATTTCAGCGTCTGCCGTCTCAATGTGGACATAAACACACGAACAACTCCAGAACTGCTCTGAGAGTCACTTCATGACAGTTTCATTTGAGTAAAACTAGCGTCATATCATATACACACAGAAATGTAAAGGTATTCACGGCAACCCGGTTTAATATGAAGATATTGCAGCAGAAATATATTACTATTGTTCAGCAGAATGTACATACTACTACTACTAAAATTATGAAAACTTTATTTTTTAAGGAATGATCAAACAACATTTCTTCCATGTCTTAATTTTAATAGCAAGTCCCCTTTGTTTGCCAAAAAGTTTTAGAGATAATTTAAAGATAAATTATATTAATGTTTTATGCCTTAAATTGATAACCAGATACAAAACACAGAATTTCTGAGGAAAAAGAAAACATTTCATAAGGCTATTTTAAGAATAAATAACAATAAAACATTAAGTGAGAAAAAATAAAACATAACTTTATAACTGTCATTTTCTTTAATCATAGCTATAATTATTATAACACCTAAAATATGTTGCGTGTAAAAAGTGTTTGTTTCAGCCACTTGAAGGGTGGGTACATTGTGTGCACATGATCAGGATGGTACCACCTCCGCCGCATTTTGAGAAAGGAAAAACCCTGTCAAGTCAAGTCACCTTTATTTATATAGCGCTTTTAACAATACAGATTGTGTCAAAGCAACTGTACAGCATTAA